ATCGCCTATATCTAGGAAAAACAGTATATATATATATATATATATATATATATATATATATATATATGTTGTTGTACAAGACTAGGTGATCTTATAGTATCTATAATATACATGTTTAGTTTCTTGACTGGCCGTGTTTTCAAATGCAACTTAGCAAGAACAAGCAAATGATTAGTACCATTGCATAAGCTATATATAATTAACTACTAATTATATATATATATATGTTGTTGTACAAGACTAGGTGATCTTATAGTATCTATAATATACATGTTTAGTTTCTTGACTGGCCGTGTTTTCAAATGCAACTTAGCAAGAACAAGCAAATGATTAGTACCATTGCATAAGCTATATATAATTAACTACTAATTATCCACCAAAAGCGCTGATCTATTGTTAATCTAAGAGGACGTTTAGTTGATGGATTTAGAATCATGATTCAGAATCATTTTTTATTTACGTGTGTTTTTTATGAGAAAAAATATTGTAACTAATCATAAACTATGATTTGAACCATGACACGAATCCACTAACCAAACGTACTCTAATTTAGATCTCAAAAAACTTAAACCGATCATACATAAATAATGGACTTGAAATAGACATATATGGAGCCAAAGACTCTTTATCTTGTCTTGTCTGTTCCCATATGGAGACAGAAGTTATTCCACAGAAAAGGAAGTCTATTATTATGGCCTAAGTTTTATGATGTCTTCTATCACATTATATAGGTTATATAGGACGGTTTTATTGTTTATTAGGACCACAGAATTATTGCTTCTCAACCCCTTTTTATGCGTTGCACGTTCTGATCAGTACAGCTTATCATCTCTTGCATTATAACCTCAAAAAAAATATATATATAACACCACATTATTGTATTTGGAGCTCAAATAATTTGAAGGAGATATTGCTTAAAAGTACTAATACGTCTTAAGCACAATATATATGTATAAATTGTAGTAAATAACATATTTTACAATGGTTTTTAAGTAAATAATATATTTTTGAAATGAATAAAATTAATAGTATATTTATTGGTAAATATGTATCCGGCAGGTAAATAAATATTTATTAGTAAATATGTTATTTATTTAATCATCTCAAAGATATACTATTTGTTAAAAAAAACATTTCTAAAAATATCTCTAAGATCAATAACATATAGGGTCACTACATAATGCTAGTGCTTTTTTTTTCACCTTTAATGTTTTTTTTTTTTTTTTTTTTTTTTTTTTTCACCTCCCCCCTGCAGTTCGGGGGGTTCTTTTTTTTTTTTCCCCTTTAATTTTTTTTTTTTTTTTTTTTTTTTTTTTTCACATCCCCTCTGCAGTACGGGTAGTCTCTTTTTTCTTTCTAAGCTTTGCTCGAGGCTTTAACAGGCCAACCTGTATTTCTTTCCATTTAAGCTTGGAATCACACAATTTAGGATGTGCCCTTCATCAATGAACCTACATATCGGATTTACACATTTTCTCCAAATGAAAATTATAAAAGCAAAGGAGACAATCTTCAAACGCCCATATATTCCAATACATACCAACATCATCCCCCAATCTGCCTTTTTGCCCTCACTGAATTAACACAACTTTGTCTATTAATGATGAAAAATGATGAGTTTTAATTTGTGGTTCAAATTATTATAAGAGCTTTTTATTGTCCCGTATAATATCCCTATCGTTAGTACGCGTTTTAAAATGTTAGATTTGGTCAAAATCTTACAAATTCTTAAGTTAATTTCAAATTTAACCCTTAAACAATAGGATTTGTTCCATTTTGCCCCCTTAGTTTAAAGTGGCACAAAATTGGCTCTCGAGCTTATAAGAAGTTACAATTTTGGTACTTTCATCAATGAGACGTCAAATTTTTTAAACAGGTGAGGGTACTCATGTGAGTCATTTGTAAAAGGCAATATAGGAGGATGAGAACAACGCATGCATTCGAAACTGTTAAAAAATTGACGTTTTACAGATAGAATTTGTTGGTAATAGTATCCTAAAAGCATGAGATGTAATAGGATATTTATTATTTATTTAATAAAAGAGTTTATTCATTATTTTATGTGCATGTATTTATGAATATTTTACGAATATCAATGAAAATTCCATGATTATTTACGTGACCTTAAACATTGTATATAAGTGTTATATGCGAGAGGATAATGTTTAAGAATAATAATCAAAACGGTATTCGTAATGAATTTAATTAAAGTTTGGAATCTTTAATTAAAACATTATTAATACATGTCATTCCCATTTAGAATGGAACGGTGTTATTTGCACTGTTAATATGACGAGATATTAAATGAATGTATTACGCATAATGAGATTATGTGGAACAATGATACATACACAATATGAATTTCTGATAATTTCCGTTAAGTATAGAAATTCTAATTGAGTCTACCGATGGTCATATATAGAATGATCTTAATCCTGAGTTCTTAACAGACTCCTATTTATGGATTTGTGTCTTTTGATTTATTCGGTACGGCTTCTGAGATCCTGAATCATATTCCTTGCATTTTGGAGACATGATGAAGTAGGTAGCCAGGAATGTTATTATACGAGATGGAATCCATTCCTTCTTGAGAAAGAAGTAGATAAATAATTCTCTTGAGGGTTGATTCGGTACTTGGACCAGTAGGAGTTCCGAATCATGAATTTGTTTCATGAATCACTGTCTATTAGAGAATCAATGGTACTCAAGGATAAAGATGTAATTAGAGAGTTTAACGGATTTCATCTAGCTCTAATTATAAATTATTTATGCATGATTGATCTATATACCGTGACTACATCACATGGACACTTCACAGTTTAGAAGTAATTTATGTCTATAATTACGAGAGTGCAATTCTAAGTTTATAGTAGAGTAACTATTAGAATTAAAAAGATTAATTAATTAATTAATTAAAGTTTTTAATTAATTGTTAATTTTATTAGAGCTTGAAATTATAGGTCCATGAATCCCCGCGTCGTCCTTGTAATTCTACAAGACACTAAAGGGCAAAATGAGAATTTTAGAATTACGAAATTCTAAAATTAAACACTCGAGAATAATTAATTGAGAATTAATTATAATTTAAATAATGTGATTATTTAAATTTAAATTTGAATTTTGGATCACTCGTTTGAAAGTGTTCACATAGTGTGAACGCAAGGCACAGTGTGAACACATCTAGAATTATCCATTTAAACTTATTTGATAAATTGTTCAATTTAGAATTCAAATTAATTTGAGTTTGACTTAAATTGAAATTTGAATTTGAGTCAAAATTGGACTATATGATAAATGATGATTTTCTTTTCCTTTCCTATCTGCAAGTTGGCGCCACACATGGATAAGATCTCCTATACATGGCCGGCCAACAATGGATAAAGGGAAGAGAAAATTTTGTTCCAAATTTAAATAGGAGATAATTAACAAACTTTATCTTTGAGATAAAGATTAGATTCCTTTTAGAAGTTTGACTTCTACTCTATAAATAAGAGAATAATCCACAATTTTTTGCTCCTATTATTTATAGAATGGCCGGTTAAAAATTTCACGTCATGCATGTGTTGGTGTTCGTGGAAATTCTTGAGTGGTTTTGTTAACCCGTTTTGTTTCAGGTGTGCCCACACATACATCTTCGTAGATTCAAGGAATTGACGAGAAAGGCTCGGGTTTTCTAAACAAAGCATTAAAGCGAGGATTGTTCGAGGTCAAAGAACTCAAGTTATCATCCTAATCGGTCACTAGGTATAATTCCTAATCCGGTTCTTGGTAAATAAATTAATAAGATTAATTTATTCGTGCATAAATTAATATAATTTATAGAATATCTCAAAAATTTTATGAAAATTTTTGTTATGCATGATCCGCTATTCTCACGTTTCCGCACCGAATTTAATTCGGAAACCAATAGAATTACTAAAGTTGCACTTCTAATAAGTTCCGGGGCCAACTTTATGTTGTTTTAAACTATAGGAGTAAAGTGAGGCAACTCCCATTCTTCAGGGGTTAAATTTGAAAATAACCCAAGAAAATGTGAAACTTTAATAAAGATATGATGATTCAAAATGATACACTGCCAACAGGTAGTGTATATTTTTATAGGAAAAAGTACAAAACTACCCTTTTATAATAGTCCGATTTTTATTATTAATCTCCTAAATCGTTACTATCCCTTTATTAGAATAAATTAACTTAAACAACTTAACAAGATGGCTAATACTGAACAAAAGGAGCAATATTGATTGCACATTGAACTTTAAGAGTTAATTCTAAAAAAAGAAAAAAAAAAAAACATTTTGTTTCCAGGCCCTAGAAAAGAATGATCGATCATTTTTGTTATCAAATTTCATAAAATCACTAAACAAGTTGTATGTTTGATTTGTCCCCATTGGATGATTAATTGACACATGGGTAATTAGTGATCAGAGATAGGGGGAGGCAGCTGGTTGGAGAAAGAAAGAGAGGTAGCTCAATTTGATGCTTAAAGAAGCTCTTGGTTTGACCTGAACACTGATCAAATCCTTCCTTTATTTGAAGTACCTCTTAAAAATTTTCAATGACAACACATGGTCTTGATTTTCTTTACCAAACTATCTATTTATTTTCTATTGATCTTTTGACATTTTGGAAACTTCCGTATTTAATTTCCTTGAACTAGTAATTATTTTATTGTTGTTTGAACATTTTCTATAAATGCATGCAGACAATGACAATATATTGGTCATGACATGCAAAGATGAAAACCAATATTTCTCTCTCTCTCTCTCTCTCTTTAAAAGCAAAACCATATTAGGTGGGGAAAATGAGGGATTTTCTTTCTGCCTTTTGTTGCTTTCCCTTAATTTCTATACATAGAAGGCCCAAAATTTCCAACTGCGTGTGAAAGGCAAGAACGACAGAAATTAAGAAGCCATAGAAACTAGCATGCACTAACCACATATCATGTCATATCTGACCCCACAAGAGACAACAGTCTTCCATCCTTACGTTGTTATATATATATAACGGCCCATGTAAAACATTGCATGGCAAACCACAAATCAAACATATACTCTCTATCTCTCTCTCTCTTTCTCTCTCTTCATCTCTCTCTCTATCTCTCTCTCCCCCATGATCAAAGAACCGTGTAGTTCTCTATCTCTCTATGTCTTTCTTTCTCTTCATCTCTCTCTCTCTCATGATCAAAGAACCGTGTAGTTCTCTATCTCTCTATGTCTTTCTTTCTCTTCATCTCTCTCTCTCTCATGATCAAAGAACCGTGTAGTTGAGGGGAATGCTGTCTGGTTCGAGACCATTTCTTTGAACAATATTACATCATCTGAATGATCTCGGACCAGGCTTCATTCCCCTCAACCCAAAGAAATCAAACTCTCCATTAATAACTATATTTTCCAATAATCATAGTAAGCTTCTTCATCTTCATTCCTTAACTCCAATATTTCTTCTCACGTATGTATGTGTATACATATACATACATACATATATATATATATATGTGTGTGTGTGTGTGTGTGTATATACATATGCATCTTTCCTGTAGACATTTGCAGCCAAGGAAGACTTTTATACCCTGAAGTAGACAACACAAAAACCAAGCGTCCACATGGGGGTAGAGAATTTGAACCGATTCAGGTATGATCAATTAGTGTAGCTAAGTTAATTCAACATGCAGTAGTTGATCATATTAATACTTGAGAATTACATATATAATTTCCATTCTTTCTTTTTTTTTTCTTTCCTTGCCTTTTTTTTATGTCATCTCTATGTTATTTTATTGAAAGTGCAAGCGAGAAATTCATGTCTATTACTCACACACACACACATTTATATATTCATTCATATTATATATATATATATATATAAAGTATTGAATAGCTTAGCGGCCTACTATATATGAAACAAATTAGTATATTAAAAAACTCATGTTGTTGATAAAATTCAATGCGTGGCGGCCATGTTTGTCGTAGGAAGGAGTTGATCATCACGTATGGAGCAGCCGGTCGCAGAGAAATCAATGTCTAATACCTTATGTGTATATATATGTGTGTGTGTGTGTGTGTGTATAAACTCACACACCGCAAACTCGCAAGCACACATTACATATAACTTTGGAAAATAATGTTCTAGCTAGCTTTACCAACATAAGGAAGAAGTAATTATGACTCCTTCACAAAAGGGAGGGAAGGATTTTTTTTAGAAGTCATATAATTCATGAGGTATTCACTTCGAAAATGTTGGACTGAGACAAAACCGTTGAATATCATAAATCTTAGAGTTGAGCTCTGAGTATAGCATTGCTTTATTAATTCCTTTGTTTTCTTTATAATTAACAAATTCGTTGGACTTTTTTGCTGTTTATATATATATATATATATATATATATATATATATTGTCAAATTGGCTTTGCTTGTGGAGAGTTGCAAAGAATATGTGTAAGCCTTATGGGCGAGCTGATCATTGCTAGATAGATAGCTTTAGCTTTATTTGTTGCATGAGAGACGGATCTAATTTTGTGAACACTTCTCTTCAAAGTTGAGCTTTGAATTCACTCCTTTTTCGCCTTATAAGACTTGTCATCATAACCATTTCTCCACTTTTTTAAAACCCTTGTGGGTCAGATCTAGACATTCAATTGTCATTTTGAATCTTGTACACACACACACACACACACACACATATATATATATATATATATATATATATATATATATGTACTTTTGGCCTTGTACCCCATTAAAAGTAGTTACTATCATGTGGCTCCAATTCTCACCCATGTGGGATACATTTACGACTTTGTCAAATTGCAAGTACAAGTTACACAATGTTGTGTACAATAATTAGTAACCATTTCCAAGTGTCTATGGAAATAATTGAATTGGGAAGTCAATGTTTGGTCTAATTATGGGACAATTAGCACCCAAAAGGCGTTTCTCATACACTCCTATACGCTTCTACAAACAGAACTTTGGTTGATGCATGCACATAATAGCCATAGACTTCATGTGGATAAAGATGGTTACTTGAATAATACATACAATTTATGACAATTGTCAAAAGAATTAGCTCATTTATATATATATATATATATATATATATGAATTTGTCAAATGGACGGCAACTTTATAATTAAATAAGTTTGCTATCTTGTCGTTGCCATATAAGTCTCCCTGATTTAAATTTTAACAAAATGTTGGACCAAGAAATTCCCACCTCTTGTCTTTAATTTGTATTTCTTAATTATAATTCCGTATAAAATTATTGTATTCAAACATAAATGCGTTGTCATTTAAATCATGAAAATTTACTTAATGTTCAATCAATTATAGAAGAGCCTAATCTAGCTATCTTGATTGATAATTGATTATTATCAAAAGAAATAAAATTTTTCCTAATATATAAAAGGCCAAAACGTTAAGTGATTCACAATATCATATATATATATATATATATATATATATATATATACATTTCTATATATATTCAAATCAGAGATTCCATATACTAAACATAATTAATTAATCATATGTAGCATAGAATAGATTGAGAGATCCTTGCTTTAGCCTTTTCATTGATTTTGAGAACCATAAATAATTAATTCCGAACAATAATCATACAAATATCTAAGGAAATAACATCAAATTAGATAAGAGATTGTGCGTCACGTAGTACTACTTACTTTGTAATCCCCATGGAAATTATGAGTCAAAAGAGAAGAGAGACATCTTGAGTATGTAGGAACAAAAAGCAATTCCCATGCTCGATAAAGCCCATTTGGAATTCCTTCTCAATGAGTACTGGATTGCATTCCAATATAAAATACTTTTGAGCGCTTTTAGTGACTTCACTTGACCCATTTCGTAAAAATCTATAAAGTGTTCGAACAACTTATTAAAAATGCCTCGGAAAGTCCATTTTAAAAGAGTGAAAGAGAGATTTTGTGATTTGGGGCATTACAATCACAAATTTTTTGTTCACACAAAGTTGTTTTAGCCCCAAAATCTCTCTCTCTCTCTCTCTCTCTCTCTCTCTCTATATATATATATATCGATCTACACATATAAAGATGCACACACACACATATATATTCATGTCTACATGCATATACATACATATGTACTTATATGTGATATCCTTCATTTTCTTTTTTCTTTTTTGTTTCTATTCATCGTCAAAAAGTGTGGTAATTCTTGAACAATAGTATTGATTAACAGAAGGGATACAGCTTGTAACAGATTAAGACAGATTAATTGAAATTTGAAGTTCATTTGATGGAACATTAATTATTATTATAAGTCAAACACGTCTGTTGCTCTCATTATTAATATGGATTTTCCAGAAGGAGCATTTTAACGTTGAAAATGAACATCAACATGATTTAGACAGATTAGGTTTAAATTCATTTTTAGTTAATTTGTATTGATGTTAGAGTCGTTAGGAAAACGTTAATTGAAAAAATCTATCACCAATGTCAGGATCTCATGTTAAATTATTAAGAAAAATTGATGGGAAACTACTTGAATCCATAAAGATGAAATTAAGAAAGATGGGAGTGTTCTAGAGTCAAATCTATCTTTAGTGCTCTAGGATTCTCTCTCTTGAATGGGGAAAGAGGATGTGAGCAAATTTTAAGTATGATTTGACTTGAGGACCACAACCTTAAAAGATATCTTTGGCCCCGTTCATTTTGCCGATTCGAGTTTAGAATTCGAGTTTTGCTACAATAAAAAGCTCTCAGAAACAGTCACATCTAACTTTTTTTGCTACAGTAAAAAGCTCTTACACAAAATCACATCTCAACTCAAATTATAAACTCGAATCAGCAAAGTAAACGGACAATTTATATACTAAGTCAAATTAGAGTCTCATTATTCTTAATTTAACTTGTATTGGGTTTCTATACATTACAAAGCCCATACCCAATAGATATCTCTAGAGCCTAAATTAAGAGATCACTTATTTGTCCCTATTAAATTAGATAGCCTATAATATAAGAGTCATTATATTTACACCCATAAAATTTATGAATGTCTCCACTAAATCATAATTTATTTGTATTAAAATTTTACCCTACATTAAAATTACATCAACGCCCATTATACTCCACATTAACTATCGGGAGAAATTCTATTCTTTTCAAATAAATAAAAAAGCATACACCCACACTAACTTTAATAAGACAGTATTTTTCAAGGGAATAAAAAGATACCCCATATTTTTAGTAACACAAATTTCATGTTCATTGAAAATTTAGTCAAAAAATACTACGTACGTGTTTCTGATATATTAGTTTCTTTGGGTTACAATTATTTTTTTTTTTTTCTGTTTGTTAGTTTCTTATGATAATTCTTTGCAGATTTTCTTATAATTCAAACTCTTTTTCGGCATTTTTCCTTTCTCGAGAGTTTTTTTTTTTTTTTTTTTTTTTTTTTTTTTTTTTTTTTTTTTTTGTGAAAGAAGCATTCATGGACATGCGGCCTTCGTCTTTATATAGATCAATGTTCGTTGGAGTGTTTTTTTTTTTTTGGTTCTGCTTATCAATTGCTTTTAAATAATAATATCTCTTTTTGGCATTAGTTTATGATATTTACTCTATTTTGTAGTTTGTTTCTAACAAATTAACAATGAAAGATGATAACATTGGAGATAACTCTGCCAATGGATTTCCCCAATACATTCAGTCTTTAATCATAAACAAGCAACAACATATTATTCTAGAGAAGAATCGGCAACGTTAATAAGCATCGACAGAATATGTAACCGAGATTTTCTTTTCTTTTTTTTTTCTTTTTTAAATTTTTATTGAAGTATAGAGATTTTTCCTATGCACTAAAGCCATAAAGGTAAAAAGAGTGATGGATATAGGTAAAAGAGAAAAAAAAAAGACCGATGAATTACAATAATTTTAAAAAGGAATATAATATTAATAGTTAAAAGGAATTATGTTATTATTTTTTACAGGATGAATATATTATTTTATAAATTAAATTAATATTATAATTAAAGTGGGGTTTAAGAGGGTTAAATTAGGTATTATAAAAATAATATCTATAAAAGATAAATTTTTTTAACATTTATTAAATGAGTATTAATTATGGGGGACATTTATAAAATTTATAGGTGCAAATATAATTACTCATATGTCCATACTAGGAAATTAATAAAACCCAACAAGAGTGCATTGTATTTGTTTAAGACTTCTGGTTTATAAGTTTTTTTTAATGCAAAAAACATTTCATTAATAAAAAAATCATGAAGTTTACGGAGAATTTAATACAAAAAACTTAATACAACAAACCAAAATCGATAAATCTGTTGGTATCCTAGTACAGGAATCCAAAGCTCGATAATGGACACAATTTGGAGCATTTCTCTTGACTCGTTTAATTTTCTCTTCACGGTTGGCTCTCCCGAAGGGGCTGTAGCAAACTCTCTGTAAAGACCGATCTTTGAAAGTCAGTATTCTTTCAGATCACACTTATCGAAGCATAATATCTAGTTAAAGACATATAGAAGATAAAAAACAACACAAAATCCACACAAGGTTATAACTTAGTGGGAAAACACGACCAAAAACAACAAAAATAACCAAAGCCCACACAAATCTAACGATTTGTGGGAGCAAAAAAATATCAACACTGACAAAATGACTGCTTTTATTCCACGAACAACTAAAAAAGAAGAAGAAAACACCAACACGGACTCCACCATCGTGTAGATCAACTCACGCAGAACGCGTTGGTGTATTTTGGGGACCGGCTGACTGGAGATGCGTGCTGGTAACAGCCCAAACTATTCACCTTCTTCCCCGTTCTCTCTCTGGAATTCTCTCACTAGAAAACCCCTTCTTTTACTTTCAGTGGTTTATAAGTTTTCACTATAACTAAGACGTCAAAGACTCTTTCTAAACCGTAAAACTAAAACTTTTTAAGTGTTGATGAATTTTGATTAGTCCATTAAAATTTTGATTGTCGTTTAAATATCATATTAAAATAGTCAGCATTCGAGCTTCATAATGCTTCGAATCCCCTCTAGCAGCGGTATCCTCCTCACAGCCTAAACCTCAGTGAGAGCAGCCCATCTGTTCGCATTGTGGTCTCACAGGGCACTCAGTGGACCATTGCTATAGGCTACATGGTTTCCTACCAGGTTACAAGCCCAAGCCCAAAGCCCAAGCCCATCAGAACTCTCTTCAATCCACATCTCATCCTACCCCTGCCTCTGAGTACTCTAGGGTTCTCTTGTCTGCACCAACAGCTGCTACTACAACTGCCCTCTTTCCACCGACTCGCCAGCCACCTCTGCCCG